TTTTTAAAGCTGCTCATTCAAGACTTGTTCAATTTGAGCTTCAGGGGTGCATCTTCAAGACTTCCACTGTTTTGCAATTAAGGAATCAGGATTGCTGGCCTATTTGTAGTCATTTCAGTGTTCAAAAGTAGAAGGTGTGCTTTGCTTAGAGGCCCAATGGTTGTAGTGAACTATGTTGGATGCCATGGATGGCTATGGATTTCAATTTCATTTCAGATCTCTGCACAGGGTGGCTTCCAGACCACTGTTTACAGATGGTGTTTGCGCAACAACAGGTGGGGGTTAAGAACATGTTTCTAGTGTTGTTCAAGGGTTCAACCAAATAATTAGGGTTTCAAGAGTTTTTTCAGAAAGATCATTCGGGCTTCCCAGTGTGTAGCTAGAAATGGTTGGAAGTTGGGACTGAGACCAAGGAAGTCGAGGGAAAGTCGCCAACCAAGGATGCATTGGATCCCACCAGTTGAGAAGTTGAGGAGTCACTGATTTCTCACAATAGCAGGGCAGCCCACCCAAACTACCGGGGCATGGTCGTGTCCTTTTTTGTGGTCCGGAAGGCAGGACACCGCTGCAGGACACCCCAAACTCAAACGACTGGAACCTCACCTCCGTCGATACGACTGGAACCTCAAACGCTTCACCTCCGTTGAAAGCACTTTGAGCCAAAAGCCTTGATTGCCAAACAAATGAATTAATGTTGACTCTTGATTAATCAACCCCCCCCCCGGCCCCCCCCCCCCTCAACAACCAGGGCCTCCAATATAATCTACTAGAAAACCAATCAAAGGACCAAAATGAAATGATTCATTATTAAAATCTTCTTGGCCTTCTCTGGCAATATTAAATTAAAAGGGAATCAATGAAATCTCAAATTTGGAATACTAAAGTAAAAGGAAATCAATAAAGTGGAAATGGAATTCTCAATATTTTAATGGACATCTAAATCCAAAGACCTTCAAAAGCATCCAATCTCAATGGAAATCTTCAACTGTTTAATAGAAATCTCCATCCAAAGGCATCAAATCTCAATGGAAATCTTCAACTGTTTAATAGAAATCTCCATCCAAAAGCCTCCAAAAGCATCAAATCTCAATGGAAATCT